TATTACGACGACAGAGGCCTGAATTACCGCCCTGAATTTTCGACGCCCCCCAAAGGTATTTACCAGAACGACCTGAACGCCCCCGGCAAAAGATTTTGGAACCAGCAGAGGTACGAGCAGAACTTTGGGGAAAGGTCTCAGCAGCGCCCTAGGGGGGTCATACAAAGGGAAAATGTGACAGGACTGAACGTCGGTTCGATGAGTTTTATCCGAGGAATCTGCATACATCAGACGTGCCCAGGAGTGACGGTTTTCAGAGGAAGAAGTATGATAAGAATTTAGAAGACAACACCAGGCCACGTACTAGTTCTTTTACGTGCAAACGCAGGAGTATCAGAGCACGCAACATGCGTAGGAGACAAAGTTGTAATTTTATAAACACACAATCCAGTAGTTCCTCCTCGGATTTCTTTTCTTCGTCTAGTGATTCAGAGGCTTTGTTGAGCAGATCGGGGTCTCTAAGAAGCGGAGGCTACGCGCGAAAATCTGGTTTAAGACGTCCTGGATCAGCAGCCAGTTTGTTCACACCAGGTTTGGGAGGTCCTAAACACAGATCAAAAACGAGCACCAAATCAAGTTTATTGAAGCCAAATTTTGATGTCACTAAATTAACAGGCAAAAGTCCTCCGGCTGCACCTCAAAACAACCCAGGAACCAGTGAAGACTTCAATACAACCCAACAATTCCGTTGGCCGCCTGTTTTACCAGGCGGAGGAGCTGCTAACGTGGAAAATACGGTGTCAGGAAACCAGGTTATAACCTTGACTTCACCAGTAAGTTCTTGTACATCATCATCGTCGACAGACGATGATTCTTTGGCAGAGTTTCCTGAATTTTTCAAGACTTTGTGACTAATATCCACCCAGCCCGGCACCATGACCTGAAGATAAAGATGTTGGAGGCCGAGAGGAGGATAATGGCGAGTGCCATTCTTTGTCATTTTGAAATGGTAATTGTTTGATGGATATAATAAAAGATTAAGAAGAATTATTAGGAAATGGAATGGAGTAATGATTTAAAAAGATTTTTTGGAACTACTGAATAAAAAAGGGACTTTTAGACAATTTGGTCTAAAAGATAAGTTTTGGAACTAATGGACCTTAACCAATGATGCTGCTGTAATAAAAATATATTTTGATAATATATGAAATGCTAAGAAATTAATTTTAACAATCTTGGTAAACAACATTTACAACTGCGAGTCAAATCAGTAATTGTTGGAAAATAGTTTTTTTGGAACTGCTGGATAAAGAATGGACTTTCAGCCAATTCAGTCAATAATGAATAAAAAAGATATTTTATTATGGACATTTAACCAATCAAATATGAAATGCTAAGAATTTAGTTTTAATAATCTTGATAAACGAAATTTGCACCTAAAAGCCGAATCTTGTATGGTTGGAAAATAATTTTTTGGAACTACTTGATGGGCTTTTAGGAGGATTCTTTGATAACTACTAGACAAAAGGAGGACTTTTAACTAATTCAGTCAATAATGATTGAAAAATATTTTTTGGAACTTGTGGATAAAAAATTGGACATTTAACCAATGATACTGCTGCAATAAGAAGATATTAATAATTAATAAAATATGAAAAGGTTTTGTCAAATAAAATTTGCTTGTGAAAGCCAATTCAGTCTGTAATGATTTAAAAAGAATTTTTTTTGAACTACTGAATAAAAAATGTACTTTTAGACAATTCGGTCAATGGTGATTGAAGATTTTTTTTTTGTGAACTGCTGGATACAAAAATGGACATTTAACTAATTATACTTCTGTAATATGAGGATATTAATAATTAATCAAATATGAAATGCTACGTGCTACGAAATTAATTTTAATAATCTGGGTTCACAAAATTTGCACCTGAAAGCCAAACTAAATCAGTCTGTAATGATTTAAAAAGAATTTTTTTCTAACTACTAAATAAAAAATGGACTTTTAGCCAATTTGGTCAATGATGAATAAAAAAGATATTTTTAGATCTAATGGACATTTAACCAAAGATACTGCTGTGATAAAAAGATATTTATAATTAATCAAATATGAAATGCTAAGAAATTATATCTAATAATCTTGGTTAACAAAATTTACATCTTAAAGCCAATTCGGTCTGTAATGATTTAAAAAGAATTTTTTTTGAACTACTGAATAAAAAATGGACTTTTAGCCAATTTGGTTAATGATGAATAAAAAAAATATTTTTAGATCTAATGGACATTTAACCAAAGATACTGCTGTAATAAAAAGATATTTATAATTAATCAAATATGAAATGCTAAGAAATTAATTTTAATATTTTTGGTTAACAAAATTTGCATCTTAAAGCCAATTCAGTCTGTAATGATTTAAGTAGAAACTTTGTGGAATTACTGGATAAAAAATGGTATTTTAACCAATTCGGTCAATATTGAATAAAAAAGATATTTTATTATGGACATTTAACCAATCAAATATGAAATGCTAAGAATTTAGTTTTAATAATCTTGATAAACGAAATTTACACCTAAAAGCCGAATCTTGTATGGTTGGAAAAGAAATTTTCCTAAAAGCCGAAACTACTGGATAAAAAATGGGCTTTCAGCCTATTTAGCCAGAAATGATTGAGAAGGATTTTTTGGTAACTACTAGATTAAAGGTATACCTTTAACCAATTCAGTCAATAATGATTGAAAAATATTTTTTCGAACTTGTGGATAAAAAATTGACATTTAACTAATGATACTGCTGCAATAAAAATATATTAACATGATCATAAAATATGAAAGGGTAAAAATTTAATTTTAATAATCTGGGAATTAAAATTTACACTTGAAAGTGGAATCAGTATTGGTAAGAAAAAATTTTTTTTGGAGCTACTGGAAAAAAATGCACTTTTAACCAATTTGGTCAATATTGATTAAAAAAGAATTTTGAAATAACTGCACATTTACCAATGAACCTGCTGCAATATTATAAAAGACATTTGTTATTAATGAAATATGAATCAGATTGGATATAATTTTAATAAACTTCACATCTCAAAACCAATTCAATCAATAATGATTGGAAAAGAACATTTTTGCAATTCTTGGATAAAAATGGACATTTTACCAATGAAACTATTGAAATAGAGATATCTGTTATTAATGGAATATGAGTAAGATTTTAAGAAACTTATTAAAACTTTAATTTTATTTTTTCACTTAAGCCAAATCAGTCAGCAATTTTTGCAACTTGCATTTCTTGCAACTACTGAATTTGATAAAAATGAACATTTATCAAATGATGCTTCATAAAGAAGGATGTCTATATGGAATCGAATATGAATTAGAGTGAATTTTAATAAACTTGGCAAACAAAATTCAAATCTATAGCTAACTCAGTCAATTATTATTTTAAAAAAATATTTGGAACTACTGGATAAAAAATTGGACATTCATTCAACGATATTGGATGCAAAAGTACTCTATTAATTAATAAAATATGAATTAGAGTGAATATAATTTTAATAAACTTGGCAAACAAAATTTACATCTGGAAGCCGAATCAGGAATGGTTGGTAAAGAATTTTTCTGGAACTACTGGATAAAAAATGGACTTTTAGCCAATTCTGTAAAAAAATATCGAAAAAGATATTTTTTGGAACTACTGGACGAAAAAATGGACATTTAACAATAACAAATTTAACTTAAGCCTTAACTTAACTCGATCAGCAATTATTGATAAAGATTTTTTTTACAACTACTGGATAAAAAATATACATTTATTCATCAACGATACTGGATATAAAACTACATTTTTAATTAATAAAATATGAATCACAGTGAATATAATTTCAATAAACTTGGCAAACAAAATTTACATCTGAAAGCCAAATAAAAAATGGTTGGAAAGGAAAATTCAAACAACCACTGGATTAAAAAAAAGGCCAAATAATTTATCAAGTCCATAAAAAAAGAATCTATATTTAATAGATTGGAGTTAAAATGAAGTGAATATGAAATATGTTGTAAAATGAAGAATTACACAATTTTACTTTACACAAATATTCACATTGCGAAATTGATTTACAAAAAAAAACTGTTTTTTTGTGGATTTACAAACTCGTAACAAACATCGTCTTGGATCTGCTAATTATTGAAATAACCAAAAGATTAAAATTATAATTCTAAAGAAAATCTGCAAAACAACAAAAAATTTTGAAGCAGCAGTTTAACTTCTTTCGCTTGACGATCTGTGTGTACGTGTGTCGTCCATAGACGACATCCAGTGTGTCGACTTTTGCTCCAAAATCACTTTCAGTAAAATTATTGACAATTATAACTTGTTATTGCGATTATTAGCAGTAAAAACAATCTCTTAGCAAAAGGGTTCAACATGACAAAATTTACAAGTAGTTTGAAATATGATTTTACTGGAGAGTAAAAAAAAACTAATTTGTAATAAAATATAATTATAAACTAATTTTTAAAATTAACAACATCAATATGTTGTAAAATAACTTCGCTTTGCTTTCAAACATTTAAAAATAAACGCTACAAAAATGGTAAATTGAAGCACAAATCAAGTTAACCTATAGTAAATAGTCTATTTTAAATAAACTCAATAGTAACAAACTAAAAATACAATATTTTATTACATAACCAGTTAATCAACAAATCAAATATAAAAATAATAATAATATAAAAATATAAAAATTATAATATCTTTCTCAAGTATTTTTATACATGCATGTATCAATAATATCACGAGCATGTATAATTTCAACAAAAAACATGTAATCATTATCATATTATTTTTAATTATTTTTTTTTAATTAAACTAATTATGATTAAAATCATTGAATCAATCAGATACGTCCATTTGCCTCAAACAACGACACACATACCTCTTTCTCTATGCGGTCGATGTAGATAAAAATTATAATATATTCTTTCACGATTTTTATACTAAATCAAAAAAGCAATCATGTAAATTAATAAAACTGTAGTAGTTGTAAATATGAAAAAAATAATCAAGTAGACGTAGAAATTAGATATAGTTGGGACATATAACTTTACCATAATTCATTTTCATTCGTTGCATGTCTAAACATTCACAGTTCACACTAGGGAATGCAATACCGATGGAAAATTTTAATGCCGGTATTTCGGTAATTTTTCATTGTAAAACCGGTATACCAGTAAATTACCGGTATTTTTATTATCTTAAACAAACGTAAACAAAATTGAAAGTTACTAATACAAATATAAAAAATGTATATACAACAACTATATTCAATTAAACAATAAAAACAATAAATTTATTTTTTTAAATAATAATTTAACAAAATTATATCCAATTTAATTAATTCATTATCACTATCGAGTATATTGAGTACTTTTCACCAAAAACAAACTTATGAGTAAGAAAGACCAAAAACTCAAAAGATCATATTACATTATTACAATAAACTGTATTGTCTGTATCCGATGTGTTAAATTAGCATAATCTCCAATATTTAAAAAATTAATTTTTCTACACTAATTTAAGATCGGATACTTTGTCGAGATAAATAATAAGTTACTATAATTGTTGAGTATTGTTATTTAAAACAATGTGATGCTTCTATAGTATTTTCAAACTTCAAAACGTTTTCGAAAAATAATATTTTATAATTGTAATAAGAAGCAAAAATATTTTGTAATTATCATAATTATTATGTATACAGTCAGATTTATATATATATATATATATATATATATATATATATATATATATATATATATATATATTAGGGTGGTCCTTAAAAGGGTCATTTTCGAATTTCCTTGCTCCCAGGGGCTCAAATGGTTCCAAATAGATAAAAAACAATTCTCTGAAAGTTTTAGCTCTTAATATTAACGTTTAGATAGAGCGCAATTCAATCAAAGTTTGTATGGGAAGAGCATGAAAAAAATTTTGAAAATTTAAAAAAAATGTTTTAGGTATAACTTAGCGAAAAATAAATGAGTTTTATTCATTCATTTGTTTGCCAAATTACATCTAAAAAACATTTTTAAAATTTTTGAAAATTTTTCCATGCTATTTCCATACAAAACTTTGATTGAATTGCGCTCTATCTAAACGTTAATATTAAGAGCTAAAATTTTCAGAGAATTGTTTTTTATCAATTTGGAACCATTTGAGCCCCTGGGAGCAAGGAAATTCGAAAATGACCATTTTAAGGACCACCCTAATATATATATATAGATATATAATATTTTGGCGCAAATATCACTTAAAAAACTGTTACATTTTTACATAAGATGAAACAAACTCATTATCTATCAGTCCAATTCTATTTATTGTAACACGGTATGAAGCCCTTTGGAAAGCAATAAATATTCAGTTTAATGATGAGTTGAGATAATATTTGACATTTGTTTATTCTATAGAATCACTTGAAGATATAGGTGTTTATGCGATTATGGATTATAAAGATAAATTTGGTCCGAGAAATTTAAACTTTAGTGTATTATGTATCAAATAGCGTTTATGTAAAAATAACGAAAATACCGGTATTTTTGGGGTAAATACCGGTAAGATACGGCTGAATATTCGATCGGTTTACCGGTAATTCGGTATACCGGTATACCGGTATTGCATTCCTTAGTTCACACACACACGTAAAATGTTTTTATTTACCATTGCGATTTGTTTACATTTTGTTTCATTTTGGTTTCTTTTTTTCTCCCTGTCTTTTTTGTGACTTAACTTGTCCTTTTTCCGATTCCTTTTGTTTGTCCCTTTCTCTCTCTCTCTCTGTCCTTTTCCGACGTCGGAAACAGTCGACAATCACCGAAGAGACGCGATTGGCCTATAATAGCCTGATCGAGCAGCCTGCAGCCAATAGGAGCCTGTCAACGCTTAATGGAAACGTGGTAGTTGCTGCGCCGGCCGTGGCGGCGCCACCGGTCAACCAGGTGGCGCCACTTCCAACTCAGGTGGGTAAAGGACACAGTAATATGTGTGTATATATATATATATATATATATATATATATATATATATATATATATATATATAATGAGAGGATCGTGTTAGTTACAACACTTATAACTCACGAACGGCTGAACCGATTTTGCTGAAAATTGGGAGGGAGGTAGTCTGAAGCCAGGAGAAGGACATAGGATATTTGATTTCATTCAAATTCAAAATTAATTAATTATAAACTATCCATTTAGTTTATTCTATCTATGATTCATACTATATCCATGACATTAACTTTCAACTGTCAAGTGTCAACCGGTGTTTTTGTTTTGATACAAATATATTAATATAAATATTTTAATCACCACTAAAAATTATTACGAAGTGGCAAATAAATTAATTCGTAATAATAGCCAGGTGGGCGATGGAAAAATGTATTTCTTGAAATGTAATTATTTGTATACTTAGGTATTTAAGTATATTTGTTTATGCGTGTTTAAATAGAGTATTTAAGCTATTTATAATCAGTAATAAGTATAATCATTAACAAATTAATAAAAAAAAAAGGAAATATAGTTTCTTAGCATAACCTCAAAATTTGTAATAAAAATGTAAATAGTTATATATTAATTGTTGTTAATTTATATTTTGTTGGTATTTTATTTTTATTTTTCCAATTAAAAAAGCTGCTTATTTATTGCCATTAAGGCGGAACAAAGTTCGCCGGGTCAGCTAGTATATATATTTATTATTTTACCATCTAATTTATTATGAAAAGGAAAGTGTGTGTGCAGATAAATTTATTTTAAATTATTTTAAATCTTATCTTAAATTATTTCAAAGTATAAAAAAATCGAATTGTTCAAAAAGGTTCAATTTTACAGAGTTTTAAAAGAAAATCTTTTCTAAAAAATTTAATTTTTTGTACGGGAAGTTCAAGCAATTTGCCTCAAGCACTATGCCATACACCACTAGTTTTGTTTATAATCAAAATTATATAAGCAAATACAAATTATTCTCAAAATTTTAGTTCACTTATCGCTAAGTTAAGAAATTCTAACAAACAAATAGAATTTTACTCATGTTATTTCCATAAGAAACTTTGTTTGGAGTGCGGACTATCTGAAAGGCTATATTAGGAGCTAAAATTTTCAGGGATTTTTTTTTTTATAAATTTGAAAGCATTTGAGCCTCTGGGAGCAAAGAAATTCGGAAAAATCTATATTAAGGACCACCCTAAATATTTATTTATTTATTTATTCAACGCCCAAAGCAATAATACAATAAAGTTTAAAGTGTACAAATTTTAAACTAAAGAGATAATATGTGAGAAAATTAGAGCATTAAGAGTTCATAGATAGCTTTGTATATATACATAATATATATAAACTACAAATATATAACATTAAATAAAAACTAATAAAATTAAACATTTAATAAACTATAAATCACTATAGTGATACATAAGTATACTTAAGACAGTCTTTTAAGGATAATTTTTCTGGCTTGATTTTTTATATTTGTCACCGACAGAACAAAGATAATATATTTATTATTTTTGATATTTTGAAAAATGCGCGTGAAACAAATTTGGTTTTAACAGCAGATATTTACAAAGTTCTATATTCCATAACTTAATGTTTGGTACGATAAAATTGAAGCGTTCAAGAAATTCAGGCATATCTAAAGTACCTTTCATATATCTAAATTAAAATATAAATTATCCCATGTCCCAAGTTTTGTGCAAATCAACTTTAAAATCGGTTCAGTAGTTTAGAAGTTTATTCGGAACAAACATGATGACTTATATATATTTTTTAATAGACAACCACTGTTACTACACCCAGCATTACAAGCATTTTACAAAGTGGGCCTCCAGTCACAATGGCACCGGTGATCAGTACTCTTCATCACCATCACCAGGAAGACACATTAAGCAGTTCACCGATGGACGAAACGAATCCTTTGAGGATTTTAAAGAGCAGCAAAAACTTTCCAGCGGTAATGATAATTGTTTTAGAATTTCTTATACCAAGATAATTGAATTAGTTTCTAAGTCTGTTATTATATTTAAGGTGAGGCCTCGTGTAAGGTACCCTGCAGGAACCGATAAATTAAGGACTCTGCCCAACATTCGAAGACATATCGATGATGTCAATAATGATGCCACGTCCAATTGTGGTGATGATGTTAGTGTACCTGAAAGTCCTAGTTATGTTACAACCACTTCACACGGCGGAGGATTTTCATACCCTGATGGTAAAAAATAGATACGATCAACATAATTCTACGATGATTCATCTATATGATTCTAGAGGTTTTATGTGTAAATTATATTTTGTTTCAGAACCCAATGATTCAACCAATCACCAAGTCAATAACCTAGTACCTTTGCCACCAAAAGATAGAAATTTAACAGCCTTATCCAATCGTAATGCTGCCAAACGACATACCAGGAAACATCCCTTGGTCATACTACCAGCTACGTCTGGGGTACAAAGAACACTCGACAAAGTCAACCAGGTAAAAAATAATATATATAAGAGTATATATATATATATTTATATATATATATATATATATATATATATATATATATATGAGATTCAGTCTTCAGGGCAATACATCAATTAAAAAATTTATGAACTTATAACATTTTTATTGTTTCCATATGTTTTGACACACTGTTTTGTTTCATCTTCAGTGGACTCTAGTTTAAAAACACATATTAAAACTAATTTATAAGAAAGTTTCTTATAAATTTCTTACTTTCTTATATATTTCTTATAAATTAGTTTTAATTAATAGTTTTAATCTGTGTTTTTAACTAGAGTCCACTGAAGATGACACAAAACAATGTGTCGAAACGTATGGATACAATAAATATGTTTTAAAAGTCATACAAGTTTTCAATTGATGTATTGCCCTGAAGACTGAATCTCACATATCTCAACATCAAAATTATTACAATTTAATAATAAGAGAAAATCCTAAAAACAGCCCTTTTCTTTTTCACATACAATCGTTTTCTATCTAAAACGTACAATCAATTTGACAATTGTTAAAATTCTTCTGCAATGGTGTATGAAAGGATAATCCTACAAAACGATTATTCGAATTTTGATAAATCTTTCTGAAGTTTGTTATGGGATTTTTTTAGGATTTTTTTGAATTATATAAAAATATAGTTAGATTGTAGAAATAAATAGAAAAAATATAAAAAAAAACGCTTATCATTGTTTGACCTTTAAAATATTTGAGGCGTTGTTTGGCATTGAAAAGACTGTCATTTGCCATTACCTTTAAAATAGTATATTACAAGTTCTGATAAAGTCAGAATTAAAAAAGTTGTTAACACTATTCCTACCGGGACCGGTCAAATGACCGTTTTTGATTTTTCGATTAGTATTTTTCATATCAAACGTAATTGAATCGTCATCAAACTTTATGACTTTTCCTAATATGTGAGTATGATACGTTTTTCAATGTTAATTTGTTTTTTCAATTTTTATTTTTGGAAAAAAAATTGTATGCTGTCTTACCTACCGCGACCGGTCATTTGACCGGTAGTACGAAAGACGATGTTCGGATGGGATTTTTTGTAGTAATTGTTAAGAATATTTTGGAACTTACAAGAAAATGTAAATTCAGAAGAATTTAGACTGGTAAAAACTGCCTTCTGCAAATTTATATGCATTTCTTTCGATTCTGTATGCGCGTTGCGCAAATGAGGCAAGGAGTATAAATATTGCATTTCTACGTTATAAAAAGTGGGTTTTCTCAATTTTCTCAATGTCTATATGTAGACAGATTTTTACGAAGGAATCCAAACAACAAATTGATAGGTTTTGTTTTGAATCCAAAGGTTGGTTCAACTACATTGACAGCAATCAAAATTGTTGTAAAAGACTACGTATTACTATCGACAAACATATATTTTCAATAAAGGTAAGGTGTAAATTTATTCAACATATGTTCAATAGTATTTAGGAAAACGTATAAATATTAGATACCGTTCAATATACGATGTAAATATAAGTATGCCCTGCAAATCGCACAAATGGGGTGTAAAATTTTGGTAACCATCCAGTACACGTAGCAAACTGAGATATTCTTTGAAGATTTATAACTGATGAAACCGTATTATCAAAATCGCTTGTACGACATAAAAATATATAACGTTTTTACCATCCTACATACAGCTAAACTTTTAGTAAAAGAAAACTGATGGTAGGTACAATTGAAGCAATATAACAGCTATAAATACTGTCAGAACGAAAAATCAAAGACTTCAACACTCAAATATTATTTACAACTTTGGAAGATAAGAAAGAAGATTCTAATTTTCACTTACAGGCACATATGTTGAAAAAATTACACTAATACGGGAGTTAATTGTATTGGTATTAGCGTCGGGTCTGATGTAGATGCCATTCATAAAATAGTCAGAAATCATTTGGTAAAATATGAATTTTAGAGAGAATTCATCAAGGATTTACATTATTTTGGATTTATTCAGGATAAATCCATTGTTGTTACATACATAAATTACAAGAAGACAATGTACAAGGCAGGAACTTTCTATTCCAATTAACTTGCCGTATAGTTCCAACAAGAATTCAGAAAAAAATCAACTAAGTACAAGTACAAAACAGATTCCCTAAAAGAAACTATTCCAGATAATGCTTTAGAAAAATGATAGGGCGAACAAAATCAGCCAAAAACGTAAAAAATGCGTGGCAGAAAATACACTCTAAGAAAAAAAATCGTGAAAAATTGGATAAAATAGTATAAAATGTAGAATTCGCATTATAAAATAAAAGAAATATATTGTATTTGTATTTATAAACTCTTAAACTAGCATTAACTCTTCATTCAATACTGAAAAATGCCGATTTTGCATGACCGGTCATTTGACCGGTTGCGGTAGGAATAGTAAACACGAAATGTCGGTAGGAATAGTGTTAATAATGTTAAGATTAGCCTATTTCCAAAATATCATGCAAATTGGAGCACAATAAAAAAATTCACAGAGCACATGCTTTTTCCTCTCTATTTACTGCAATAATTTTGTTGATCGTAGGTTGAATAGAGCTTACATGTGCTCAGGATTTGACAAATTAATTCACTTCATATATGAACTTAAGTAATAATGTATATTGAATTATTGGTGAGAAAAATGTAATTTAGATCGTAAATTACTAAACGCCAGGTAAAATATGGTACGAAATTATAAAAATTATAGGCAACATTATTGAAGCAATTATTTTGGGTAGAAAAATCCAAGGCGATATTGTACCTTCACCGCAAATGCTATATATTAATTCTGTCGGGTCATCTAGTATATATATATATTTATATATATATATATATATATATATATATATATATATATATCTTATATATAAAATTCTTCTGTAATGATGTATGTAATTATACTCCTCCTAAACGATTATTCGGATTTTGATAAATCTTTCTGTAGTTCGTTAAGTGATTTTTTAAAGATTTTTTGAATTATACAAATATACTTCTTGATTGGATTAAAGTTTTATTTGGAATACTTTACGATCAGAATTGGTTTTCTGGAAGTGTGCGAAATCAAAGAATTCATTTAGATTCAAAAATTTATTGAGCGCTTTATTATAATATTTTAGTTGTTACTTGTTCAACAGTTCAGGACTAACTAACTAACCTTTCTTACATTTTTAAAATATTTCCAGTATTTCTAGTTTTATTAGCTCGCCGAGGGTACATGAGCTATCATAAACTTTTATTAAGGGTTGTCTGGCAGATGTACAAGATATTCGCAACATTTATCGCTACTTGGGATTATACATCGTTCAAATGAATTTACTTATGACTAATATTTATAATTATAAAGAACACAATTCTCAACAATATATATATATATATATATATATATATATATATATATAAGAAGTTTGTTCATTAGTGCAACATATTTATGTCCTGGTTTTAGATTACACCTGTAGAAGACCGTCCGCCTCTAACATTTCCTCCACAAGTGCAAAGAGTGTCACCCACCAAGATCGTCACTTCACACGTGACCAGCGTCACGTCTCATCTCACCAACGTGACATCATCTCACACCACAAACGTCACATCACCTTGTTATATGAACCAGTGCGATGTAGTAGACTTTGGTAGTAAATCGAAACAGGATAAAGAATTGTTGGAGAATAATTTTACCAAAGAGGAATTGTCCACGTTAAAGGTAATATTTATTGGAATATTTAATAAATATTAAATTATATATTATCTTATATATAAAAATGGAGCTCTCTTTCAAATGTCCAAGTAAAGCTCGAAAACGGCTAAACCGATTTGGCCGCTCTTAGTCTTGAAAAATTCGTGCCAATCCACAGAAAGTCCAAAAGGTGAGAAATTATTTCAAATCCGCGTACAAACTTTACATTTTTAATTTGAAAATTTTTGTAAAAGCGTAATTGAAATAAAACAATGGACGGTGGCTAATACGTCAAATGTCAAACGTTTTTGACAGATGATGTTCAATTACGTTCAATAGGATATTTTACGTGAATATTATTTAATTATGATTAAATTGTAGTAAGTAGCTTTGTTCGTAGTTTTATTTATATATAAAAGCGTTAGTAAACGGGCCGCAAGTGTTACTAGAGACTCAAAATATCAACCTTTTTGAAATGTTAATATGAAAATGCACTTTTTGGCATATTTTTCTCAAACACGGTGCTCTGAAAGATCTCATTTGTATAATTATATACTCATTGGTATTTATAAAACATTTTCGAGGTTATATTATTTTTTATTTATCTTATTTAGATTCAGAACCTAAATTTGGTATCGATCAAATGGACATTTTGTCGAATAACATTTTTCCAATTATAATTTCCCAGAATTTATCGCAGAATAGATAGTAATATATGAAGGTCCGGGATTAAAAAGGTCCACCACCGATGTGCCAAAAATCAGTAAAGTTAAGCATTGTTTAACAACAATATTTGAAAGTAGAGGAAAAAAGATGTATAGCCAGCTACAAACTTGATTTGAAAACGATAATCTTTGAAATGGGGGATATAAACGGTAATCTTTGAAAATCCATAATAAAAGTATTTTCTTCCGTCGGTAGTTTTAGCATTAGTTAAAAATGTAATTATTATGTAAAATACCTTTAAAATCAAGGCAAATTGCTGGATCTTCCCGTTCCATAACGAAATGTTCGAGGACTATTTAATGTTTTCAAATAGATTATTATTATAAATACTGTGGCATTGTTTAATATTTTCGAAATCTAATTTATTGTCGATGTACAAAAAAAATTGTTTTGTCAAACAAGCAAAAAGTTTTTTGAATCATTCAAATCGTATGCTTAGTTCTCTCAAAAACTGCAATTTTTTGTTCATTTAGCTCGGTATTTCCGAAACGGCTGGATCTGTCTTTGCCAAAAACTAACAACCTCTTCTCCCAATAATTACTAATTGAATGCTTTTTAGATCATTCAAATCGGATACTCCGTTCTCTCAAAAACTCGATTTGTATTTTCTGCACTCTTTGCTCTTTATCTCCGTAACTGCTGGACCTGCCTTTGCCAAAAACTAATCAGCTCTTTTCCCTATCGATAGGAATCGAATGTTTTTTGAACCATTCAAATCGGTTGATCCGTGCGCCCGAAAACGTGACTGGAAATTTGTATCCATACATACATACACACACACACACATCCATTTTTTCTGAGGTATGCCAAAACGTTCAGAAACCTTCAAAACGTCGAGAAATGTAAAAATTTTCAATTCCGATTTTCGGCCCACTACAATAACTTACCCTACGGGAAGTTAATAATTAGAATGATAAATAAATATTCTTTTAATTTTATATATTTCTATATTTTGGGGGCCCCCAAACAAATTTTGATACGGGATATTTATGAAATGTGAGTTTTTGTTATCGTATGTTGTTTTTTCTTTAGCAAGTTGAGTATGAGAATATACAATCAGGCGAACCGAAAAAGCAGGAATCGAAATCTGTGGTTTTGCCAAGGAGACATCAGTCGTTGAACGATGTGCCGAGTACGCAGGACGTCGATAGGGCTTCGATGGATTTTGAAAATTTGGTCGAGTCTGATTTTAATTTTGAGACTGATGATGCGTTTTACGAGCCTGGGGAAGTGCCTGTCGATGAAATAGGTAAATAAATAATAAAGTTTATCAACATTATCTCAAAATCAAGTATTTGATACTATTTTGAAGTAAGAGGCAAAAAAATTGCATCCAAACATCACGTCAAATCCAACGACGTCGCTATGGTGAGATAAACTGCCACCATGTCTATTTTTTGGTTGTGAGCACTGTTGTTTAGTTTAGTATAAGTTGATTATAAGAGAATACTAGTGGTGTGTGTGTATCGTGCCTTAAGGCAAATTGCTGGAACTTCCCGTACCGTAATGAAATTTTTGAGAAATTTTAAACGTTTTCAAATATATTATTACAAATACTGTAACTTTCATTATTTTTGCTATCTTCTTATAACTGACAAATTTTGCAAAAAAAAAACATTGGCAGAGACAAATTTATTAAAATACAAATATAAAAAACAAAAATACTCTTGAAAAATAATTTGCTGAAGCATCAAAATTATTCTGTTAATGAATTTTTATGATCTAAATATATATTATATACATACATGTGATAATGTATAAATGATATAAAACATATATATAAAAAAAATTAATAAAAAATCATAAATAAAAAAGAGACATTAAAAAAATATGTATGTTAATTAGTATATAAATGTGTTAATAAGTAAATAAATAAAACAATAATAAACTAGTGGTGTATGGCATTGTGCCTTAAGGCAAATTGCTGGAACTTCTCGTACCGTAATGAAATATTCGAGGAATTTTAAACGTTTTTAAATATATTATTGCAAATACTGTAACTTTCATTATTTTTGCTATCTTGTTATATCCGAGCATATCAATGTAAATCATAAATAAATCAATTTATCTCCAGAACATTAACAATCGTTCGTCACTTTATTTCGAATTCAATTTCCAAAAAAATAGTAGTATAGTCACAGTCTAAACGCATTTGCGAATAATTCTGTGCGACATTTTCACTTATACTGTGCTTAGCTTGGCGGCATTTTCACATTTTTCAATAAGTTTTCACAAAATTGGAAAAGTGACATGAACAGTCTAAAAACGCACTTGGGTAAACATTTGTACCAGAGTGGCGCTTAGACTGTGCTTAGCCTTTGAATTTTTAATCCAAAATTACAAAAATATTTTTTGAAAAAAAAATTAGAAACATTTTTTTTTTCCAAAAGCAATTATTTTGTTGAAACAAGCAGAAAGTTCTTTGAATCACTTAAATCGGACGCTTAGTTTTCTCAAAAACTACCATTTTTTTCAACATTTGGCTCTGCATCTCCGAAACCGCTGGGCCTACCCTTGCCAAAAACTAATAACCACTTTTCCTTACGAACTGAATGTTTTTTGGATCATACAAATCGGATGCTCCGTTCTATCAAAAACTCTTTGCTCTTTATCTCCGTAACTGCAGGACCTGCCTTTGCCAAAGACTAATTAGCACATCTATCAATAGGGATCGAATGTTTTTTGAACTATTCAAATTGGTTGATCCGTGCGCCCGAAAACGTGGACGAAAAAATTCGGACATACAAAACACACACACGCACACACATCCATTTAGTTTCTGAGGTATGCCCCTTAAAAATGTTCAGAAACCTTCAAAACGTCGAGAAATGCAAAAATTTTGATTTTCGGCCCATTACTATAACTACCTTACGGGAAGTTAAAAATGACGACGTCGCTATCGCGAGATAAACTGCCACATTGTCAATTTTCCACCGAAAGTATTTTTTGATTTTGAGTACTATTGTTTAGCTTACAACATCTGCATATAATCTTTAAGTACAGTAGAACTCCAATTATCCGAATTAATGGGGACCGGGACCGATTCGGATAATCAAATATTCGGATAATCGGAGTTTTTTTTTAAAATTGCCATTGGAGAGAAAAAAAGTTACGTTTTGATATTGCACTATTTTTTTTATTGAATTAAATGAAAGAAACATGACATTTTCACATGTTTTAAATATAAATAAAATGTACTTAAACGAGTTAAAAAAAAATGTGCAAGTTTAGAAATAACTAGCTGTAAGTGGAAATCTGTCTTAAGGCAATTAGGGCATCGTGCCTTAAGGCAAATTGCTGGAACTTCCCGTACCAAAAATTATTATTTTTTTTAAAAACGATTAACATTTTTGAAAAAAAATTACTTCGAAAAAATAAGATTTTTGAGAAACTATAAATTTGACAAAAAACTACTTTTTTTTGAAAAAAAAAATGAAAAAAAAAATAATTTAAATTTTTTTTTTTTAAAATCTTTTTTTTTTGAAAAAAAATGTTTTCTTTATTTTGACATATGTTGGAAAATCTGAACTTTTTTTCAAAGCAATCGTACTGCTTTAAATGCATAGAGACAAAATATAAAGCGCATAAGCGCCGCGTCGCTGTCTAACGGGTAAACATTGGTACGGAACCCATAGGAATGTAAAGAAATTTATACTTGTTGTTAAAATCTCTATAAAATATCTGATAATTTGATGTGCATATGTCTAATGATCATTTTTGACCGCCAAATGGCATTTTTTTTACGTTTTTCGTTATATCTCCGAAACCGCTAAACCTGCCCCTATAAAAATTTGATCAAATCTTCATCTTGTCAATACAAGTAAAATGTTTTTTGAATTATTAAAATCGGACGCTCCGTTCTATTAAAAACTGAGGTACCGTTTTTGGCACTTTTTGCCCCATATCTTTGGAACGGCTAGACCTACCTCCGCCAAAAACTAATCAGCACGTCTTCTTATCAATACGGATCGAATGTTTTTTAATTTATTCAAATTGCTTCATCCGTGTTCCCGAAATCGTCGACGAAAATTTGTATCCGCACACACATACATACTACGCACACACACACACACATACATCCATTTTTTCTAAGGTATGCCAAAATATTCAGAAACCTCTGAAACGTAAAGATATATAAAAATTTTCAATTTTGATTTTTTTTGCGATTACTATAACTTACCCTACGGAAAGTTAAAAATCATTGTTTTGTAAACATCTCCGTCAAATCAAAGCAAACAATGTGCCTACACTCATTCCATTTGCTGGTGGAAGGATAATAGCGCACTTTTTGGGACAATTTTTTTTCTGAAAGTGATTCGGATAATCGGGAGATTCGGATAGTCGAATTTCGGATAATTGGAGTTCGGATAGTCGGGGTTCGGATAATTGGAGTTCTACTGTATATGTTATTTAATTGTTTTATAAGATGTATTGTTAATTTTAAGTTAGATTAATACCTTTACACTGGCAACATGTTAACAATAAGAAAGAATATAAGTACACCTAAGTCCGTGTAAAAAAAAAACGTGTAAAAAAAGACATTGATCTTATACAAAAATGGGTGATTTGTTCCTAATCTCTAAAACCTATTAAAATTAGTGAAAAACAAGAATTTTTAGAGTATTCTTCTAAATTAGTGCTATTCACATTTGCTTTGACCAGTAAAAATTGTTTGTACGCGCTAAAGGGGAATTCACTTAAATCTTTAAGCTAGTGTTCGCAAACTATCGATACTATCGATGGTTTCAGACTTTTTTCTTTCAAAAGTACTTTTTTGTGATATGAACATACATCGCAAAAATTAAATTTGACAAAAAAATTTAAGTACATAAAATTTCAAATCGTGCTAAATGGAATAAAATCGTGTAAAAAAATTAAAAATATTCAATTTTCAAACCGTGTTATATCAAAACCGTGTACAAAAACACCGTGTAAAAACAGACTTAGGTGTAATTTGATTTTATCATATTGTCATTCAGATACTGCAGTGTCTGCAGCAGCGAGACCAAGGCTGGCTTCGGCAGATGCTGCTGTTTCAGTTACCATACCAGGTGTAAATTTGGATAAAAATACTATTGCAGAGCATGATGTTAGCTGTGAAGATTTACTGGATTTTGCAGGTAAATTATAATTTATCACATTACAGTAGAAACTAGTTGTAAGTGGCATTTTGTCAAGGCACCTTGCATGTAATTTGCGATACGGGTAACTAATCGATTTAAATAATAACCAGTGGTGTATGGCATCGTGCCTTAAGGCAAATTGCAGGAACTTCCCGTACCGTAACGAAATGATCGAGGAATAGTAAATGTTTTCAAATAGATTATTATTAATATTGTAACATTGTCTAATATTTATAAGAATTATATAAACTGAATTGCAAAGTTGAAATCATTTGTTTAAAGTATATTAGAACTATAGTCAGAATTAAAAATAAAATCTGTATTATTTTCGATATACAAAAAAAAAATTTCCTTGAAAAAAAAAATCTTTTTTGAAAAATAAAATTAGAAACATTTTTTTTTCCAAACGCAATTATTTTGTTGAAACTAGCAGAGAGTTCTTTGAATCATTCAAATCGGTCGCTTAGTTTTCTCAAAAACTGCCATTTATTGCACATTTAGCTCCGTATCTCCGAAACGGCTGGACCTGCCTTTGCCAAAAACTAATCAGCTATCAATAGGAATTGAATGTTTTATGAACCATTCAAATCGGTTGATCCGTGCGCCCGAAAAATTGTATCCATACATACACACATACACACACACATCAATTTTTTTTTAGGTATGCCAAAATGTTCAGAAATCTTCAAAACGTCGAGAAATGCAAAAATTTTCATTTTTGATTTTCGACCCATTACTATAACTTACCCTACGGGAAGTTAAAAAAGAGCCAATAAAGTGATATAATAAGTAACAATTGCCTGGTTTAACAATAAATAAATATAATGTGATGTTTACTGTTTATTTTATACTATTTATACATTCTTTTACATATTTGAGAAGAATATTTTATCCTAATTAACTTCTTTCCTAATATTTAAATTCAATTTAAGAAATGTTTATATTTTATTGATTATTATTACATTTTCCACTATAAATTGCCATGTTTTCCTTTGTGAATGTTCATGTGTTTTTGCAGATGATGGAATTGTGTGAATGTCTTATTACAAACATTGCATCGATGAGGGCGTATTCCTTTGTGAATCAGCATATGTCTTTGCAGATTATTTGATTGTGTGAATGTTTTATTACAAACATCGCATTTATGAGGGCGTATTCCTTTGTGAATGTTCATGTGTTTTTTCAGATTACCGAATAGTGAGAATGTCTTATTGCATATGCTGCATTTATGTGGCTCACCAACGTGAATGCTCATGTGTGCTTTCAGATTACTTGATAGTGTGAATGTCTTATTACAATCATTGCATCGATGAGGGCGTATTCCTTTGTGAATAAGCATGTGACGTTTGAGACTTCCTAACTTCGTGAATGTCTTGTTACAAACATTGCATTGATGAGGGCGTATTCCTTTGTGAATTTGCATGTGTGTTTTCAGATAACTTGATTGTGCGAATGTCTTGTTGCATATACTGCATTTATGGGGGCGTTTCCACTATGCAAAAGCATGTGAGTTTTCAGGTAACCTTTTTGTTTGATAGTCTTATGGCAGATTTCGCATTTTAAAGGGCGTTCTTCGCTATACTAGGCTTGTGATCGACCATATGCTCTTTAATTGATCAGATTCTGCAAATGACTGATCACAAATGTCACATTCATAAGCTGCTGGCTCGACTAACTCCTGTTTCACTCCTTCTTCGATAGTCACTTCAGAGTTCATGAAATTTCTAAACAGGTTTCATCATCCTCAGAACACGATTCAGATTTAACAATACCATCAGAAACATCATATCATTCTGAATTTCGTGTTTAATGTCTTCTTCTGAATATTCTGGCGGTTCAATTTTAATTGCCGGATCATTATGACATAATTGTTTCTTCTGACATTTTTAAATATTTCAACTGCTTATACTCACTTACGAAATAATTGAAATGATCCAAAATAGGCGTGGGCTAAATAATAACCTAGTTTATCAACAATCCTTTTCAATACAATTTTCCACAACTGAGTTCAACTTAATTAAATTATTATTTGACATTTGAAACATAGAGTATACTTACAGAGAAAGATGAGACGCTTCTCATATCGCTTTCGCATTTAACAATGGCGCGCATTTTCAAATTCATTATGTTTCTCTGTGTCCAAACTATTTTATTAAATAATATTAATTTTACAAACGTTTCGAGACTAGGTTTTGTCTCATCATCGGTGTATTATAATTTAAAATTTTAAGACCATTTAAATGAAATTTCCAGCAGCAGAAAAACAGAATTAAATACAAAAAATATAAACCAATAGAAAGTATACACAAAATAAATTGTAATAAAAAATTAAATAAATAAATAGAACATTACATAGATAGATATATAGATAGATAAATAGATATAAGATAATAAGATAACTAACTAGAAAAATAACTAATGAATACATGATAAATATATAACTAAATAAGTAGATAAATACATATAGAAAATAGGGGGTGTATGGCATCGTGTCTTAAGGCAAATTGCTGGAACTTCCCGTACCGTAACAAAATATTCGAGGAATACTGATGTTTTGAAATAGAATATTATTAATATTGTAACATTGTCTAATATTTATAAGAATTATATAAACTGAATTGCAAAGTTGAAATTATTTGTTTAAAGTATGTTAGATCTATAGTCAGAATTAAATATAAAATCTGAATTATTTTCGGTATACAAAAAAATTTTTTTTTGAAAAAAAAAAGTTGAAACAAAAAATTTTTTTTCCAAAAGCAATTATTTTGTTGAAACAAGCAGAAAGTTCTTTGAATCATTTAAATCGGACACTCCGCTCTCTCAAAAGCCCAATTGCTATTTCTTCCATTTTTTGCTCGGTATCTCCGAAACGACTGGACCTGCTTTTCCCAAAAACTTCAAACGCTAAAATTCTATTTCCATTTTTCAGGAAGAAAACCTCCAGGTCGTGCACGTGGCGTGGAATCAGACGAAGTCCGTATAATGAACAAAGTTCTAGGAAAAGAAGTAAATATACCGACCCATAACTTGAATAATTTCTATAAATATTTCTATAACGATTTATAATTTTTACAGATGACTCCAGAAGCTTGTCTGGTGTCATTGGAGCACATGGACTGGGACGTCCATCGAGCTATCAAATTAGCTCGTTTAAGACTTTTATTAAACAATTCAACAATTGCGCGACGACTGGTAATGTTGAATTGAAGACGGTTATTGATAATTTAAGCAACAAGGACTTGGTGAGTGCTTTGGATACTGCTAGTTGGGATATCACTAAAGCGGCATGCTGTTTGTATGAGAAACATGGGTCGTAGGTAAAAATTATTTTTATTTTTATTTGGGTTCAGATTTTCTTGCCATAATATATATAATATATATATATATATATATATATAATTAATTCAGTGCAATTTATATATTCATAATAATCACATACGAGCTTCAACATGACTTATTAAAATTATCAGACAATATGAATTTTAACATTTACGTAAATAAGTACGTAGGCATTTTATAAAAGTTTTAATAATCATAATTATTTGTTAATTAATGTGTAGAATATGTGATGAAAATAATGATAATTAATATGTGTCAATTTATATTATGTATATAAGAGTATTTTAATAATTATAGACTTTATCTTGCGATATAAGTGGATGTGCATTTTTTAACTTTATCGTAATTTTAAGGTAAGACAAATTGGAGTAATGCTTAAACAGTAATAATAATATTATATATATATATATATATATATATATATATATTGTTATACAAGAATACTCAGTAATCACTAATAATTTAAATCCTTTTTTTTTAATTACAATTAACAGACAACTTATCATTTGTAGATATTTTAAGAGAGATACGTGTGATGTTTTTTATGAAGAGAAATTATACTCTTATTAATAATAAATTGTTTAATAATAATTTACAAAATATATAGTTCATTAAATTAATAGTGACATATGAGTGATTTTTTATATTTTTTTGCAGTCAGGTAAATAACTCTTGTTTATGTCTGTATAATAAGCATTTACTTATATATATTATTACACCTAACTAAGTCTGTTTTTACACGGTCTTTTGTACACGGTTTTGATATAACACGGTTTTGAAAATTGAATATTTTTAATTTTTTTACACGATTTATTCCTTTAGCATGATTGGGAATTTATATACTTAATTTTTTTCAAATTTAATTTTTGCGATGTATGTTCATATCACAAAAAGTACTTATGAAAGAAAAAAGTCTGAAACCATCGATAGTATCGATAGTTTGCGAACACTAGCTTAAAGATTTAAGTGAATTCCCCTTTAGCGCGTACAAACAATTTTTACTGGTCAAAGCAAATGTGAATAGCACTAATTTATATTATTAAAATAAACATGAATTCTTGTTCTTGAAAATTCTTGTTTTTCACTAATTTTAATAGGTTTTAGAGATTAGGACAAATCACCCAATTTTGTATAAGATCAATGTCTTTTTTACATGTTTTTTTTTTACACGGTTTCTTCTGGAACCAATCTCCGTGTAAAAAACAGACTTAGGTGTATATATATATATATATATATAGATATATATATATTATAATATAATTCTGTAAGAAGCTTTGCTCCAATGATTATAACAATATATAAAATAAATTTGTAAAATATCATATAAACGAAAAGAGAGCTGTAAAAATAACTTATTTTATTTATTATGAATAGCACAAATAAATAATCTATAGTAACATACACATATTTCATTTCGATATTTACATTCTATATTGGCATTCATTGGTAAAACTACATACACATACATGTTTTAAATACATAACATATTTAGTACAAAAATCAATGGCATTCTTAACATATATCGTATTATACATATTGTCATGAATTAAACAATGTTCTAATAAATAAATTTCAATATATAATACCCTAGTAAATATAAAACTTTGATTTGTGGGCAATGATGATTTCTACATGTATTTACACATAATAAAACAAAGGTCACAGGTTTAATTTGAATCCTTTAATAAACGGTAGTCCTGTAGGGACTTTCTCTTGATAGTCAACATATTCTTGTCCAAAAAAGTGCAGGATGTTTATTCTTCTATGTAGACACACGCTCACTAAAAATACCAACTTGCTATTGTATAGGCAATGACACGGTTTTGTGTGCAGCATAAAATCAACTAGCTGTAAGGGAATTCTGTCTTAAGGCAATTAAGGCATCGTGCCTTAAGGCAATTTGCTGGAACTTCCCGTACCAAAAATTATTTTTTTTTTAAAAAACGATTACAATTTTGAAAAAATTTTACTTCGAAAAAATAAGATTTTTGAAAAACTATAAATTGGACAAAAAATTACTTTTTTTTTGAAAAAAAAATTTTTTTTTCGAAAAAAAATTTTTTTTATTTTTTTTTTTTTTTGAAAAAAAAAATATTTTCCTTATTGTGACATATTTTGAAAGATCTAAACTTTTTTTCAAGCAATCGTACTGCTTTAACTGCATAAAGACGAATTATCAAAGAGCGTAAAGCGCCACGTCGCCGCCTAACGCGTAAACACTGGTACGGAACCCATAGGACTGTAAACCAAATTCATACTTATTGTTAAAATCTCTATAAAATATCTGATAATTTGATGTGCATATGTCTAATGATCATTTTTGGCCGCCAAATGCATTTTTTTTTTACTTTTTTCATTTGATCTCCGAAACCGTTAGACCTGCCTCATGAAAATTTAATCAATTCTTCATCTTGTCATACAAGTAAAATGTTTTTTTGAATTATTCAAATCGGACGCTCCGTTCTTTAAAAACTGAGTTACCGTTTTCGGCACTTTTTGCCCCGTATCTTTGGAACGGCTAGACCTGCTTCGCCAAAAACTAATCAGCACGTCTCCTTATCAATACGAATCGAATGTTTTTGCATTATTCAAATCGGTTTATCCGTGTTCCCGAAATCGTCGACGAAAATTTGTATCCGCACATACATACACACACGTACATACATACACACACACATACACACACACATACACCACACATACACACACACATACACACACATACACACACACACACACACATACATCCATTTTTCTAAGGTATGCCAAAATGTTCAGAAACCTCTGAACGTAAAGATATATAAAAATTTTCATTTTCGATTTTTTTGCGATTACTATAACTTACCCTACGGGAAGTTAATAAATATGATTGAACATTGCATTGTATCTATATATTATAACACGTTTCTATGAGTTCATGCTCACAATATTTTTCTATCTAATGTGCACATAAAATTAGATGAACATTGTTCGAAATAATTACATGTTTGCTCACTATGTTCCGAAGTAAATACATATGTACTTTTATAATAATCGTTTTTAATAATTCAGAATCGTTAAGTGAAGCTACGTTCCGCCCTACGAAGTGATCGTAGATATATAATAAAATGTTAAATTAATCCTTATCCCTTATAAATGGTAAATATAAAAAAGAAGACTAAAAAATATATTTTGTATATGAAAATTCACTGACATTTTAGGTACAATTTGACTTTGAGCAATTAAATTGTAAAAAAGAAGGAGGAAATAACACGTTTCAAACAAAACAACTATCTGACTATATGCAGCAAAAGTTCAATCTAATTCGTCATTGTGGCAATATATGGTTTTACTGTTATTTTTACCTGGTTTTTGGTAGGGGTAAGTTTTGACGGTCAGAGGGCAAACTGGTCCCATGTCTTATTTTAATTTTGAATAGATTTTACAAAATATTAGCTACATTATTCAACCAATGCAAAATATAAATATCATGGGTGCATTTGTATTGGACATAACCTATTATTAAAATTGCGTATAACCTATACATACTAGATAGAATAACTATTTATTTAATTCTTATCATTTAACCAAATCTCTCGTAAATAGCCTTTTTTATCTTGATTACTTTTTTATTTCCAATTTTTTTATTTTTCACCATTGCCAGGATAAAGGTTCAATTGTTCTTTTTTACCTTATCCAGAAGTAAGCTTTTATAGAGGTTATATAAGAAAAACTTTTGAATCTAACTTAAAATTAACAATATATCTTTATTATCTTATCTATTTATTTAACGTATACTTAGAATTATATTAAGGTCTAGTGAACTAAGCAACAAACCAAACAAATAATAACAAAAGAAACTACTTTTGTAATGGATTGTTCGTGATGGCTCATCCATCTTCCCCCCTACTTTAAAATATTGTTAAAAAATTCCTAACTTCACTGATTTTTTATATATCAGTGGTGAACCTTTTTACCCGCAAACTTTTAAATTTTGCTGTACTCTACATATATAAACAAAAAATTCATAATTTCAAATTAAAATGCACGCATATTTTTAAAATAAATGGTATTTTAAAAATCTTTTGTTAGATATTATTGGATGCAACATTTTATCATAAATTTTATATAAAATGACCCCACGTTCAGAAAAATATCAGTGATTCTCATGAATACAGGGAAATAGTACATTGCATATTTAAAGTCGTATATATGAAATCTATTCGCTTAAATGTTGACCAATTTCAGAGATACTGCAATGTCCTCATATTTCCTCTTTATCAGACATAACTATTTGGTAAATTGTAACGCATTACGTACCGCGATTGCTTTCACACAAAACAACCGACTTTGATCAAATAATTTCAAATTGCCTTATTTCAAATATTGTTATATATATATATATATATATATATATACATATATATATATATATCATATATATATATATATATACATATATATATATATATATTTCTATTGTATCTCCACTATGGAATATCAGAGCATTCGAAATGCAATCTAAATGCAAAATATTCAGCTTTATATATGTATTTCGTCGATATCGTTCGGATAAGTAGCCTTGTTGCGATCGCTCCTATTTCTTGAAAATATTGCGCGGGTAATGTGTATCCTTCGGCAGAGCTTTTGGAATTATTTTCGGAAGTGGATTTTATTAAGTGAACACTTTAACAACACTTCAATTCTGTACCAGATGTAATCCCTTGTACTTATTGTCTTATTTACGTATGCAATTATTACGTTATCAAATTAGAATACTACGCAGAATACTGTATGTTATACTACAAACAAAAGTTTTATAATTCACAGAACTGCTTCTATTGTGTATCAAATTAAACCCGCACCACAGAAATTGCAACGTGTTTTTCTAAATCTGATATTATCATAAACAATTCCACAAAATCCAATTATTAAATTGAGCACAGGAAACTGTAGCAATACTATGTAAAACAAATACAGACTGCTGGATATTCAAATT